AGGCTGAGGCAGGAGGATTGTCGAGAGTTGGAGGCCATCCTGGGCTGCATAGTGAGTTCAAGGCCAACCTGAACTACACAACCAGACCCAGTCTCAAAAGTCAAAAAGAGAGAGACAGAGAGAGAGAGAAAGATAAGAAAAAAAAGGACAGGAAGTAAAAAACAATTAAGATGTGTTATGTACATGTACCAACTCCCCACATTGTAATCCTCATGTACTAATTAAAAAGGGGTGGGATTACTCAGTCCTTTCTATCAGAAGGATTTATCTCATATACCTAGAGTCACTTCTTAGTTTTCTTTCATTTGTAGCAGGAGACAGATTTGTTAGGAAGATATCAGAATACCACTGTATGGCAAGAATCTAGCAGTGCTTTCTCCATTTACCTTTTTGCGTCTATCGTGAAATATAGCAGCAGAGATAATAGTTATTGTCACATATAATATAATAGTCATTCGTCAGAGCTGTGTCCTAAGAAATGCATTGTTAGGCCGTTCTGTCATTATGCAAACATCATAGAATGTGCTTACAAAGTAAGAATGCTGTGACTTGACCAGACCATATAATTTTTTGGGACCAACATCATATACAGTCTGTCATTGACCAAAATGTCATTATGCAGCCTGTGGCATATATTTAAAATGATGAAAAGATAAGTTCTAGAGTGTGTTATAGATAATAATTCCCAGATTGTCTTTCCTTAAGAGTTTCAAAGTCGAGGCTGGATATGGTAGCAGGCACCAGTATTCCCAGGTACTAGAGAAGCCGAGGCAGGAGGATTGAAAGTTCAAGGCTTGCCTGGACAAACTAATAATACTCTGCATCAAAAAAAAAAAAAAAAAAGTTTCAAAGTGTGTTATGTACCCATCTTTCAGCATTTTCATTGTAGTTCTCCCATGAGGAAGAGGAACATTTTTGAAAAACTAAGTTGTTAAACATGGTTGATATTAATATCTGAATCTTAAGCTGGGCATAGTGGTGCGTTCCTGTAGTCCCAGCACTCAAGGCTGAGGCAGGAGGATTATCGTAAGTTCAAGGCCAGCTTGGGCTACATGGTGACTTCAAGGTCAACCTGAGCTGTGTAGCAAGACCCTATCTCAAAAAAACCCCCCCCCCCAAAAAATCTGAAAGTTGAAGACCTTATTTGGGTGATAGATTTTTATACTGTTTAAAACATTAAAAATTTATGTTCAAAAAATGACAGAAATTGAAAATGATTTGACTACCTGCACCTTTGGATGAGCTTAGTCAGAGGAACTGTGTTTACTAGGTCCTGATAGATCTGCTGCATTACAGTCTCAAGGGCAGGGAACTTACAACATGTGTTTTAAAAGCTCCTCACTGTTTTCCTTTGTGCACCACTGGCCTAATGGATACTTTCAGAATACATTTTATAGATCACACCTGATGGGTAGAGTAGTGAACTAATAAAAATTTTATATTCCAAAGCTGGACGTGGTCAGGCATGCCAGTAATCCCAGCACTCAAGGCTGAGGCAGGAGGATCACTGGGAGTTTTGAGGCCAGCCTGGGCTGTCTAGTGAGTTCAAAGCTAGCCTGAACTACATAATGAGGCTCTGTCTCAAAAACCAAAAAAAGCACAAGGCCCTGAATTTGATTCCCAGTACCAAAAAAAAGTTTTGTCTTCCATAGTTTTTTAAGCTCAAGGTATACTTTTTGCATTAATATTGCACCACAAAATACTTTTTTAAGTTACATATTTTATTTTCTTGTCCCTGATATATCTATGTATTTTTAAAGCACTGTATATCTGTAATGGTTACGTTTTTATCTTATCTTTATCTCCTAAGTTGAATTTTAATGCAGAACAAAAACTACACTGTCTACGTGCACATGTGTATTGTTTATAGATGAATTAAACTGTGCTTTTTACCTATATATCTGATATATGTTGGCTGTCCATTTCAAGGTACCATTATACTGATGAATAGAATGTAGGAAAAAAAATTTTTTTTTTTTTGGTACTGGGGAAGGAGCCCAGGGTCTTCACACTGAGTTACATCCCCAACCCTTTTTATGTTTTATTTTGGACAGTATCTCTAAATTGCCCAGGCTGGTCTCCAACTTGGAATGATCCTCGGGCCTCAGCCCCGTGGGGGCTGGGATAACAGGCACGTGCCACCGTACCAGTTTGAAGTAAAGATTAAGATTACCTCCAGATATAAATCGGGAACCTCCTAAAGAACCAAATAACAGTAAAAAGCTCCTAAATAGCCGCTTGAGACTCATTCATGTTGTATGACAGAGCCAGATTTTCTAGGGCATCTATGCAAGATCATTATTTTCAAATGAATTGTGGTTGTCCATTTAAATTTTACTCTTCCAAAGTCTTACCTCGTTTTGGGTTATCAGGATGACAAACTCGCAAGTATAAATTCTTTGTTTTGCTAATAATTGTGGCTAACACATACAGTGTTTACTGTTCTAAGTATTCTGTTAACTTCTTTAATCCTCCTGACATATTTGTGAAGTGGGTGCTGTTATCACCTCCATTTTACAGATGACGAAATTGGTAGCTCAAGTCTCACTCAGAGTCTGCACTGTGATACTGAGCTGCATATACTCTCAGGCCCAGGATCCACACTGTTAGCCACAAAGCAGTGCATAACTACACCTTTGCCAATGAATGCTAGTATGGGAATTTTTAGTTTCTTACCTCCACTCCCACCCTCAGTAGAGGGGACTGACCCAGGGCCTTTGCACTGAGCTGTATCCCCAGCCCTTTATATGTTTTTATTTTGATGTAGAGTCTTGCTGAGTTGCATAGGCTGGTCTCAACCTTGCCATCTTCCTGCATCAGCTTCCTGAGTAGCTGGGGTTGCGGGCCTGCACCACCAATCCCGGCCCATTACATTTTTTGGTAAGATGAAAGCCAACTCAGAGAAGCCTTATATAAAAGTTATTTCAAGTTAAGAGAGTTGTATAGTTTTTCCTGGTAAGATAAAGTTTCCTGGTAAGATAAGTTCCTGGTAGTAAAAGAAAAAAAAAAAAAAGTTTATGGTAGTAAATTGCCCAGATCTTACACAATTCAGTGAGTTTTAACAAAGGTGTACAGCAGTCTAACCTGAAGCTCAGTCAAGATGTACTACATTTCTATCACCCCAGACAGTTCCTTCATGCCCCCTTTCGAGGTGATTTTTGCCTGTTCTTGACATCCTGTGAGTGAATCCTGCAGACTCATACAGTATGTGCCCTTTCTGTCTACCTTGTTTTGCTCAATATATACAGGTTAAATCTGCTTGAGTATTACTTGGTCATTTTCTTGTTTTTTTCAGAGAGAACTATGTTTTTTGCATTAGGAAGGAAATACTAGCTTTTTCTCATTATTCTCTGATTGCACAGTAATAGGTGAACTTACGAACTACTTCACATATTATAAAAGCTAATGTTAAACAATTTTTTTAATCAGACCACAGTAAAACCCTAATCCAGTTAATTTCAAGAAATGAATAAAATACGTACCTAGATTGTAGCAGAAATCTGCATCTTTCCATCCCTTTTGAGTCTTTGACTTTCCTCTCTGGGTTTTCTGCGTGGCTGACAGAAGGTGAAGAGCATTCCGCTTGCTGTCTTGAGCCCAACCCTAAATGTCCTGGCAGAGCGTTCCTTCTTGGCTTCACTGTCTCACGATTGACTGAGACGTTATGGTCTGCAGCGCACAGTAGTTTATGACTTCATGGCTTTTGATTGGTTAAATAGACTTGCTAATATAGCCCCTCTGTCCTTGATTGGGCAAGATGAAATACTGCCTTTATTTGTTAATACTTTACAGTTTGACAAACTGCCAGAATGTCCTTTAAGACACTGTCTTATCAGAAGAAATTCAGACCAGTTTGACCATAATGGTTAGTTCTATGATCAAAGGCCACTGCAACTGCCAAGTTTACTTCAAGAGTTGAAAGTTTATTGCTTTAGTGTACTTTTTTTTCTGGCTTTCAAATGGAAAGAAAATGTCCCTTTATCCTGGAGAGTTTTTCTGTCGTGATGTAAAGTTATTACTTGAATATTTTGGACATTGGGAAGCACTTAGTTAAAGATCAGTCCAAAGTGTTGATAATTAGTAGGCTTAGGAAAATAAACTAGTTTCCTAAATATCCTAAATAACTAGTTTCCTAAATACCCCTCATAGTCATTTGTATGAAATTGTATATGGGAGAAAAATGCTTTAAAGGGTGTCAAAGATTGTTCCTCAATTCTTCTTTGATTTCCAAATAATTATATCTGTTTTTCAGAGGTTCCTTCTTGGCATATACTAATGTGTACTCTGTTATTAATGAAAGTGAGAGATATTTCAAAGTTATTACAATTGTGAATTTTCTTCTCATCTGCTTTTTTTTTTTCCTTTTTAGTGCTGAGTATTGAACCTGGGCCTCACAAATGGTAAATAAGTGTGTGGTCTACCACTGAACTATATACTCCTGGCCCTGCAATTTCTTTTAACAAACCAATCACAAAATGAAGTAGTTTTTGTCTTTGGTTTTGTTTTGTTTTGCTTTCATAAGCTGTGACTGTGAGATAACAGAAAGCAAATCTTAGGGAAGGGAGAAGGTGAAAAGACAAAATAGGAGAGGCCAGATAACTCACCAGTTGCAGTCAGCCTCTGCTTTGATAAAAGAGCATTTATTTGGGCTGGGGATAGACTTCCGCGGGAGAGTGCTTGCCTGGCCAGAAGCCCTGGGTTCAATCCCCAGTGCAGCAACAACAACAAAAAGAGTTTTTATTGCTGGGGTACATTAGGAAATTTAGAGTGTTGAGTAACAGTGGATGACTTAACAGGAATAGTTAGCAGAGAGTATTAAGCCGTTCTTCAGCTCTGGTACAAAGTGCAGTGTTCTTTCTGCCCAAGAGCCCTAGGGGACTCTGAGCCAGCTCACTCTCAGGAGGAAAAAGAATGCGATGCGAGCTCTTTTCCAGCCCGCTTTGTGGGCTTACCTGATTAAGACTGCCCTATAAGGCCCTTGGTTGGCCATCTCGTCTTTCTTTCCAACTTGCCCAATAAAATTTTTTTCTATTTTGCATGTCCGAAAGTTCAATAAAAATTAATGTTTTAATAATGGAAATCAAATTGTAGAATTAACTGCCTTATACAGGTGAAAACAACTAGTCCAGTCCCAAGGGAATTATAAACAACTGATTTACATGTGCTAAGCATGGTTACTAAGAAGATTCAAAAGTCTTTGTCTTAGCAGTTTCTCTCCTGGCACTATTTTGTAGAAAAAAATACTCATACATTCAACATAAAATTACAAAAGTACCAGCACAAAGATATTTATTGTGGCGGCCAAAGGTTAAAGGCAGTATGAATGCCCATCACTATGGAAATTACTCAGTAAGTTGTACTTCCAACCCAATAAATGTTGTGGAAACATCAAGCGGAATGAATTGAAGCTATACGAGATAGCTTGGACGGATTTCCATTGGTATTGTAACGTGAGAAAAGCAAGATACAGAATACAGTGTTCAATATCTCATTTTTTGTAAGATAGTAACAATAAAAAACCACACACAGGTGTATGTGTGATTATAATAGTATTGAGAAAAGTAGGGAAGGATGTGTATTAGATTACGTGGGCAGGATATGGGCAGGATACTGATATATATAGTGTTATAAAGGGGAATGAGGAACCAATCCATGAATATAAAGGGGGAAGTATTTAGTGAAAGAATTCAGTATGTGATTATGTTTATATACAACTATTGTGTGTGTGTATGTGGACATAGTTACTTTTTAAAAAAACTAATTCAAACAGATATGATCTGGGCTAATCAAGGGAGCCTTTGGAAGAGAAAGAACTAAAAGTAAACATGTCTTAAGCCAAGATCTTGGAGTGGGATTAGTTTGAAGGAACAAGACATTTTGGAAAGGGAACATATTTCAAGCAAGATAACCAGAGAAGGAAAGAACAGATTGGACTTGCCTATCAGATAAGGGCTTAATTGCAGAATAATTGGAATAACAAGAAGAAACATTGTCCAAGTCACCAAAGGCCATATGTTGTGCAGTTTCTTTATATGAGATCCGCCAGACACAAATCTACAGAGAAAAAATAGATCCATGGTTCCCAGGACAGAGGAGATTGGGAGAAAATGGGAAATGACTGCTTATGGACCTGGGGTTTCTTTTTGGACTGATGAAATAGGTAAATTGTAAGATACAGGAAAGATCTCAAGAAAGTTCTTAAAAGAGAAAGAAGTTAGCCAAATGAACTGGAGTCACGTGG